AGGGCTGCGCCTGTCTCTCCCCAGCGAGCCCCGAGTGCTGGGGTGCAGTGCAGTCTCCAGCAGGCGTATGGGGCTGGCACAGGGGGATGCTGGTGTGCCTCGCCTTTCCTGGGGTCTCCATCACAAGCCCTGCCTGGTGAGACCCCCTCTCCAGGCACATGCAATGTGTCTGTGCTTGAGGGCTGGAATGACAGCCAGGAGAGCACAGGGGGAAAGGGTGGGCTCCTTTTGGGGCATGCAAGATCTTCTCCGGGCTAGAAACACAAGTGAAAGCACCAGTGTGCCTCAACAGGATTTCAGTGTTGCTGTTTAGTGGCCATGGGGCCTGGAGGATACTGCGCTGGGCAGCCTGGGCATACAAGTCCTTCTGCCTCTGTCACACACAGCGGCTTGGACAGGGCAGCTGAAACAAAACACCCAGGGCAGCTAGAATGGATGTCTGGGGTAGTGGAGGCTTGGGGGGAGGATTTTTCCTTGTTTTTAACCCATTCTGGGGCAAGTCAAAGCTGTACTACTCTCCTGATCTTCTCCCTCCTGCATGGCCTGCCCCATGTCCAGAGCCTATGTTAAACGTCTAGAAGAATTGAAATAATAACGCTGTTACCTGCCAATGGCAGCAAGTTCTTTGCCCCTGTGCCTCGCTCCAGCCAGTACACAGTAACCTGGAGGTGATGCTCTGTTCCCACCCGACTCAGCCCCATCTCACAAATCTGGGGTACAGCCAATGTGACCCAAATGGCTGCCCTGAGAGCAGCTTTGGGCTGTGTCTATAGTTGTCTGCCAATAGCTGGAGGCTCAGTCCTGTGTATTCCACTCCGCATCAGCCACTTCTCTTCTCTTTCCTGTCCCAAAGACTGCCCCAAGGCCTGGGGTGACCTGGTGAGGGGTACACAGAACTCCTGGCCACAGCTCATCTGCAGCCCAGCTCCAATGGCCACCCTGAGAAAGCCCCTGGCCACAGCAAAAGCACAAGGTGTTGGCATTAGGAACCGGACAAGGCTCTTGAGCCTTATGAAATCCTTCTCGTAATCTCCCAATATTGAAGGAGAGGTGTAGCAAGGTGGGTGTGACTCCCCCAGCACCCTGTGCACACACCACCCCTGCATCCTCACCTCAGTCCTCTCTCCCAGGCTGTTGGGAGCCCAAGGATGGGCCTGCATCCATTCAAGGTGGGTGTCCAAAGAGATGGATGTCTCTGGGTTCTCAGGCAACCCTGCTGGCCTCTGGCCCCTTCCCTACTGCACTTTCTTTTAAAAACATGATGTTTTTCAATGGAACAGGAATCACTTTCACCAGCAGCTCTTAGTTCTTCGTGTGTGGAACAGAAGGCAATGACAGAGTGTTTAGGTTCATGGACATGACCTGAAGGTCTCACACACCACAAAACAGCACCCAGAATCTCCCCCACCAAACAGCCATCCAGATGAGATGCAGCACAGCATGGATTAGGCAGAGGTATAATTCCAAAATCCATAACTTAAGTGAAGCAGGAGAGGGTGTCTGAGGACAAGGAGAGGAAGCTGCTTTGATGTGTATCAGGATGTTTATCTTGATATCAACAGCCCTAGTTCTCTTTTTTAATGAAGTTGCTCCTCACTTTGAAGTGGATCCTCCTGTGCTGTGCATGGCTGCAGCTCGGGGAGATCCTGCACAGACTTCACCCTCCTCAAATGTTAACTTTTCTCTTGTGATTTGCCTGAAAACTGTGAGACCAAAGTGAAAACTCAGGGATGAGAGCAGCCGAGCTGCCTTTGGACCTGCCAGACAGAGGAAGGGGTCAGACGGATTTTTGAAGGCAGGTTGAAGGCAGGGTGAGACAGAGGACAGAGTCAGATTTTTGAAGGCAGGTTGAGGGCAGGGTGCAGGGAGATGCTGTGCCTGGGAGCACTTGGCACCTCCCTGCAGCACCCACAGCCCCGGGGTGTACAAACATTTATGAGGTCCCTTGGAAGGAGGTAGGTGTTGCTCCAGGTCCTCCCCCACCACGGGGAGGAAGCCTCCAGCTCAGATTATCCATCTTCCCAACAGGCGACGGCTTCATTAGTTAATTAGAACAACAATCCTCATGGGCTCATCTGGGATTTGTAGTTGTGCTGGCAGGAGATTTGCTGACTGCAGGCAAGCCCTGGGGCAAAGCTGCTCAGGAGGACTTGGCACACGGTGCCCTTAGGGACTTACCTCCCTCCTTCCTGCTGAGCCAGGAGCCTCTGGATTGCACTTGTTCCAAGCCCATTTAATTTTAGCCAAAAACATTCCTCTTCAAAATGCAGAGCCTTGTGTTTTAGCTGTGGAGGTGATGAAGCATATTTATGTAAAGTAAGAATAATCTGTAATATTCCTCCCATTGTAGACACCTCTCTCAGCCCAACAGGAAGTTTCAATATGATTTCTCTAATGCAGGCTCCATTGAGAGCTCTGTTCACACATAACAACATATTGCCTAGCGCTTGGGGCTCAAGGGAAATTTTAGTGGTAGTGTTTGAGTGGGGGGAAATGATTTTTAAGGGAAAACTTTAATCTGCAAGCCATAAAGGGAACAGTAGCTTTTCGTCTATGGACAGTGTTCTCAGCCTCTGCTAACTTGATTTTATCATCCTCTGCAGGCTTGCTTCTTAAGATAAATTTATCCAGGATTGCATTTGGTGTAACAGCTTGATTTCTTTTGGTGCAAGGCTGATTTCTCACAAGAGCGACTGCCTTAATTTCCTACCAGTTGACAGCAAGTGCAGCTGCATTTTGTACTCGTAGACTTTGTCCTTGCAATCCCAGCCCTTCCTCTGCTCACCAGCCAGGATGTGCCAAGGCTGCTCTTTCAGCATCACCCCTCTGTGGGCTGTAGATATGTGCCTCAGGGATAGAAACACTTGGCTTCCTTGTCCTAACAGAAAGAGCTGTCAGGACTCACAGATCCTACCCCAAGATTCATCCAAAGGGGTAAATCTAAGCTGCAGCACTCTGATGCACCCCGGACATCCCCAAACTCTCATTGCTATGGCAACAATTTAGCAAATTTAGCACTGCAAAATTATTTGCAATTTTAAACTGTTGCCAAGATCTTCCTCAAAGGCTCTCTGCGGGTTGTTTTGCTCTTGTTTTTCATGTAACCTTCCCTCCTTTTATGTGCTCTTCATTTTGGCACAGCTCCCTTCCTTGAGGGATGACCTTTCCCACCCATTTACTCACTCCGCTCCTTGGCCCTGCTGGCCTTGAAAATCTTGTTAAAGGACGTGTTCATTTACTGGAAGTCTCCAGCATGCGGATCTGAGCAGATCTCATGCTGTCTGCAGGCAGCCTGCCCCCCTGGCTGCTCTATTAATTTCTCTTAGCAAGCTCCCTGATTTCTATGCAGTTCCCTTGATGAAGTTAAGCACGACTCAAGTGGTTTTTCCGCTCGACAGAGCAGGTCTTCAACAGCCCTCTTCTAAATTGCCAGGGATAAAGTCCTGAGTCCAGCCCCCCCGCAGGTTTCCCCACCAACCTCTCCAAGAAACTCAACTAGCAGCAGCTGAAAATCTT